CATCAATAAACCAAAAGTGCTTTCCTGTAATATAATTTTTCCATTCATTTTGTGTTTTTCTCAAATAAAAGTATTGTAAGTTTGGAGCAAGCTGTAAATGTGCAGGCTTTGATTTCATGGGATGATCCCTAAATATGCAATTGATGAAATTTCCTATCCACCCTTAACTCTCCCATTTATATATGTGTGTATGTGTGTGTATGTGTGTGTGTGTGTGTGTGTGTGTGTGTGTGTTGTGTGTGTGTGTGTGGTGTGTGGTGTGTGTGTGTGTGTGTGTGTGTGTGTGTGTGTGCGTGTGTGTTTGTGTGTGTGTTTTCTTTACCGTTTTTCTCACCTGAATAGGCTGTTCCTTGTACCCAATTATGCATTAAATTTATTCCTTTCATTAATGTTCTATACAATTTATTTCAAGAAACATATCCCACAATGCCCCATACTGAAATATCTCTTCAGATGTTAATAAAGGAGACAAGAATGACAGTCCTATCCCTACTCATTTTCAACCCTTTCACTGATACGCTCTAAAATCATCTGCATCCCGTGTGATACATTTTCTGTATTTTCTGAATAACATTTTCTGCAGTTCTGAATATTTCTTTTTGTAGCACACGTGTGTACAATTACCAGACCATAAGACAAAAAATACATTGTACATTATTAGTTATGAAAAAAGAAAAAAGGTTTGACTGACAGTACAAATAAGGCTCATATTGTTAAGTTCATTCATCTCGAGTTGCCAAATCTTAGGAAATGAAGCTGGAATTGTATTGCTTATTCTTTATGAGAGTTTCTCTAATATATTTGAAAATATATTGAACGATATTGACAAAAAACATAATGATGTTGTTCCCTATAACAAGGGCTTTGTCCATGCAGACCATGCTACAATACAGTAAATGAGCTATGTTTTATAGAGAAATTGTTCCCTCAGTGCAGTTACCGAATGATGCACGTATCAGGGAAAGGGTTAAAAGTTTTTAAGGGCAAGAAATATAGTGGAAAGACTTAAGTACATCATTGTGGATACAATTTAATGTATTTCTGTCTATTCAGTTTGATGATAATTTTTAACCCATAGCCAGCAGGTGGCATGTACATACATCCCATGGCTGTTATGGACTGAAAAACGGACAGCATTGTATCAAGCCCATTCCCGCGCCACTGGCTAGTCGGACAGTTTGTTTTTCTCCGATAGTAGCGGCTTCATTTATATGGTAAACATTTTAGCCAATGGCACCTATAATGAAAGTAAACC